TAAAGTAGGAGAAAGAGCAGAATGGGTCTGCAAGGAGCAGAAAGGGATCAGAAAGAGAAAAGAGCAGAAGGGTGCCAAAGAGGCAGAAAGTAGCAAAAATGTAAAGGAGCAGAAGAAGCCAAGGAGGTGAGAAGACTGTGTCAGAAGAATAAGAAGACTGTGTCAAATGAAGACTAAGAAAAGGAAATTGGAGCAAGAAGGACAAGTGAAGTGATCACTCCACCTGGGCCTGACAGGGAAAGTTTAGACCTTCTCATCTCCCTAGGTAAAACAAAAGGGTAGGGGTGTTGCTGATTGGCTAGAGTGGTCAGCTGGCACTCTAAACCAAACAGTAGCTGTCCATTCATAAAAAGTAAAACCTAGCAATTGGCTTAGAGCGTCAGCTGAGTCTAGCCAATCAGTGGCACCCATGCCTAACATCGATTTGCACTTCCTGACACTCCGTTTCAGAAGCTGAATACCACTGAGCGACTTGGAGATCTGGAGCTGATGGGTTAAACCATTTGAGAGAAGTTTAACCCCTTAAAAGGAAAGAGAGCACACAGGGGTCTCCTGGCATCATAGCATTTTCATTTAGATGAAGTTGTTATGGTGACCAGAATGTTCCTTTAATTTGATTAAAGGAACATTACAGTGTCAGGAATACATACATGTATTCCTGACCCCATAGTTATGAAAATGCTATTCACCCTGGCTTTATGAGATAATGACTATGCCCTTCCCCTTCATGACAGTGTCAAAAAGGGGCCAAACATGGATGTCATTATAATTATGCCCCCCTATGGAAAAAATTCCTACGGACACCCATGTGTCTATCTATCTATCTATCTATCTATCTATCGTTATCTATCTCTATTTCTCTATCTTTATATATCTACCTAAATATATATCCCTGTTGAAATATATATCCATTCCTCTGGTAACTCCTTCCCTGCCAGTCCTTCTTATACTTGTAAAAAAAATAAAATTATATATATAAAAAAATAAAATTATATAATATATATATATATATACACACACATACACACAGACACACACACTGTACAAATACTGCACTACTAAGTACAAAGGACATACATGATGCCTGTCAGCCAGCTGTACTGGGACTGGCAGGAAAGTGGTTACCAGTGGGATAGGTGGATAAAAGAGACTGGCAGAAAAGGGGATATCAGTGTGTAGGGAGGTTGACTAACAGGAGCTAGAGGGAGAGGGGTTACAGTAGGTAGAAAGGTTGACTAACAGGGGCTAGAGGGAGAGGGGTTACAGTAGGTAGAGAGGTTGGCTGGCAGGGGATGGAGTGGAAGAGGTTAACATTGTGTAGTTGGCTGACAGGGGATGGAGTGGATGAAGTTAACATTGCGTAGTTGGTTGACGGGATGGAGTAGATGAGGTTAACATTTCATAGTTGGCTGACAGGGGATGGAGTGAAAGAGGTTAACATTGCGTAATTGGCTGACAGGGGATGGAGTGGAAGAGGTTCACATTGGATAGTTGGCTGACAGGGGATTGGAGTGGATGAGGTTAACATTGCGTAGTTGGCTGACAGGGGATGGAGTGGAATAGTTGGCTGACAGGGGATTGGAGTGGATGAGGTTAACATTGCGTAGTTGGCTGACAGGGGATGGAGTGGAATAGTTGGCTGACAGGGGATTGGAGTGGATGAGGTTAACATTGCATAGTTGGCTGACAGGGGATGGAGTGAAAGAGGTTAACATTGGATAGTTGGCTGACAGGGGATGGTGTGGAAGAGGTTAACATTGCGTAGTTGGCTGACAGGGGATGGAGTGGATGAGGTTAACATTGCGTAGTTGGCTGACAGGGGATGGAGTGGAAGACGTTAACATTGCGTAGTTGGCTGACAGGGGATGGAGTGGATGAGGTTAACATTGGATAGGCTGACAGGGGCTGCTGGGGAATTTATTGCTTGCATTACAGGGAGGAAGAGGAGCACATATGGGGTGGTTAGGAACTGGGAGGAATATCAAAGAAAGGAGGAAGGAAATGAGAGCAGAATAAGGATACATCAAAGCTATGATTATTATTATTACTAGTATTATTACTATTAAACATACTGTGCTTAGCTCTGTGGTGCAGCCTGTGCTGTGAGCATTCCTTATGCTACAGAAGACATGACTTTCATTGGCTGAAAAAGATTCAAAAAAAATTCAGAGACTGGAAATCAGGAACATGTTGAAATGTGAGAGGGGGTGGCTAAGGAAAGCACTGCAGGAAATCTACACAGAATCTACACAGAATTGAAACAAAAGCAACTAACCACAGGTATTTGAGCTTATTAGTAGGGTTGAGCGAACGCGAACTGAAAAGTTCAGGTTCGTACCGAACATTAGGTTTTTTGGACCCTGGACACGAACACTGTATGTTCGGATTGGAGTTCGGTGTTCGGCGATTTAATGGCGCGTTTTCAAAGGCTGCAGGGCAGCCAATCAACAAGCGTTTGACTCGTGTGCCCTTAGAAGCCATCACAGCCATGCCTACTAATGGCATGGCTGTGATTGGCCAGTGCAGCATGTGACCCAGCCTCTATATATAAGCTGGAGTCGCGTAGCGCCGCACGCACATGCGGTCTTATTATTGTAGGGAGAGGATGCTGCCGCGGATAGGGACAGCTTAGGAAATAATTCTGCAAACTAGTACATTAGTGGGATGGGGTGCACTTCATATCTGAGAGTCAAATAGAATCGTCAAATACTGCTGTCACATTGCAGTTTTAAAACTTAAAATTATTTGGGTCCTAAACTGCTAAATAGTATTTTAGTGGGGTGCACTTCATATCTGAGAGTCAAATGGAAGCGTCTAATAGTGTCCCTACAGTGCAGTGGTAAACATTCTTATTTTCTGGGTGCTAATCTGCTAAATAGTACATTTTGGGGCATGCACTTCATATCTGAGAGTCAAATAGAAGCGTCTAATAGTGCGCTTACAGGGCAGTTGTAAACATTCTAATTGTTTTGCTGCTAATCTGCTAAATAGTACATTTGCGGCCTGCGGTGCACTTCATATCTGAGAGTCAAATAGAAGCGTCAAATAGTGCACTTACTGCACAGTTGTAAACATTCTTATTGTTTTGCTGCTAATCTGCTGCTTACATTGGAGTTTTAAAAAGTCAAATTTTTTTGGGGGGTGCTAAGTAGTATATTTGGGGTATTCACTTCATATATGAGAGTCAAATCGAAGCTTAACTTTGATTTGAATTTACTACACCGGTCACTTGTAATATTGTTACACAGATCTAAGTGATAGACAACAGATTGATATTTTCTACACTAGAAACTACCAGAGAACAAGTTGCTATATTCAAACCAGTAATCAATAGCAAAGAGGTACTTCAACAATATTGTAATTCTGGGGCAATACCCTCACCAAGTCAAACTGAGAGGTCAGTTTATAGGGAAAACTGTTGCCTGGAGGAAATTCTAAAACAATTTCCAAATGTCCTTTGCAGACTTTACAAGCTGGAAAAACACAGGTGCCAACTGCTGTGCCTTTCTGCAGTGTGCATACAGGCAAGGAGGGCAGGGTTGAGGAGTGGGTGGAAGATGATGTGGGCTAATCTGCTAAATAGTACATTTTGTGGCCTGCTCTTCATATTTGAGAGTCAAATCAAAGCGTCTTATAGTGTGCTTACTGCGCAGTTGTAAACATTCTTATTTTCTCGGTGCTAATCTGCTAAATAGCACTTTTGCGGCCTGCGGTGCACTTCATATGTGAGAGTCAAATAATGCTGTCACATTGCAGTTTTAAAACGTAAAAACTTTTGGGTGCTAAACTGCTAAATAGTATTTTAGTGGGGTGCACTTCATATCCGAGAATCAAATAGAAGCGTCTAATAGTGTGCTTACAGCGCACTTGTAAAAATTCAAATTTTCTGGGTGCTAATCTGCTAAATAGTACATTTTGGGGCCTGCTCTTCATATTTACAAGTCTTGCTACAACAAAATTAAACAAGTTTTAAAATATGTATGGGCCAACCAGTGGCTGTAAACAACAAAGTTTTACTGGTTACATTCATGACTACACACTCTAGTGAACAGGACATTCATGTAGTGTGTTTTAAAAATCATACAGCATCCTTTCATGTGCTTTTCAGATGTCATATTGTGAATTACCAATTTTTGTGTAGCCTGATTTATTTATTTTTTAAGTGAAAAATAAGTGTTATTGTGATCGCTTCATTTACAGAAGCATTAATATATATTTCTATATTGTGTAAAGACACAACTACAAAGTTAAAAACCAAACACCAAAACAATGTGCTAGACAATCTACCTGTGCATGGCTAGTGTGATACAATAAGTCTACATCTTAAAAATGCAATAACCCACAGAAGATGGGCGAGAATTTTTTTTTGCAAATGGAACTTTGATTTGAATTTACTACACTTGTAATATTGTTTCACACCTACAACACTTGTTACACAGATCTAAGTGATAGAAAACAAATTGATATTTTCTACACTAGAAACTACCAGATAACAAGCTGCTATATTTAAACCAGTGATCAATAGCTAAGAGGTACTTCAACAATATTGTAATTCTGGGGCAATACCCTCACAAGTCAAACTGAGAGGTCAGTTTATAGGGAAAACTGTTTCCTGGAGGAAATTCTAAAACAATTTCCATATGTCCTTTGCAGACTTTACATGCTGGAAAAACACAGGTGCCAACTGCTGTGGCTTTCTGCAGTGTGCATACCAGCAAGGAGGGCAGGGTTGAGGAGTGGGTGGAAGATGATGAGGTCCGAGACCCCACATGGAATCAAGGTCATACGAGTGACGTGTGCAGTTTGGAGGAAGAGGTGCTGGTCGCACAGAGACACCAGCACAGCATAAGAGGGAGCAGGGTGCAAAAGCGGAGCAGCCGTCCCCTAGCGCTTGTCGGCATGTATTAGCTTGAGAATTACCAGTTATCCAAGTAATACATGTAGCGATCAAAGGATCCATAATAGAGTTGAGCGAACCCGAACTGCAAAGTTTGCGCACCTGCTGCCTTCCTTGCATGTGGTAGCAGTTTCTCAGGGTCCCTGTACGGAATGGAACCCTGATTTCCTGTGGTCACCATGGTAGGCGCAGAAACTGGCATCGTAAGTTGATATAGATGACATCCGCATGCAAAGTCATCGCCACGGGGATGTGCGCTTTGCCTGAGGTTCTCTAGAGTCAACAAAGTTCCTGAGCAACTTTAATGTCAACAGCTACTCTGCAGAACAGAGTTGTCTTTTTTTTTTTTTTATATGTCCCAATATTTTGGGGGCTACCCCAATTAAAAAAACAAACAAAAACAAATAAAATAACAGTGTTGGCTACCTCATCCTCCTCCTCCACCACTGCTTCCACCTACACCGCCACGGTCACCGCCCCCTCAACCTATGGGTCACGTGGTATAAACTATGTACACAATAGCAGAGGCTTTTGAAGGACTTTTCAGGAGTTGAGCTCAGTTTGAACAATGAAGGAGAATACCCTGCACTCCAACCCTCTCTCAAATGGATAATTCTGGTGATCCTCCTGACAGCCCTGCTTTAGATTTTGATTTATGTTCTTCCAAAGCTAAAATCAAAGATTCCATCTAGTGCTATTTTATGGCTCAGCTGTATTTTTAATATTTATGTTATTTTAAGTGATTTCCCTATCCACATTTGTTTGCAGGGTACTTGTCCTACTCTTACCCCAATTTTAGCTCTATAGCTCTTTCCAGGAGTTTTTTAGAGACATTTTTGTGGCCAAAAGTTCGGGTCCCCATTGACTTCAATGGAGTTTGGGTTCGGGGTCAAGTTCGAGCCTGAACCCGGACTGTTTTTCAAAGTTCCGCCGAACCCGCCGGACCCGAACTTCCAGGTGTCCGCTCAACTCTACTTATTAACTTTAATTTAAGCTTAAGTTGTTTAGCTGCCTGGAGTGTCCCTTTAAAGTCTTCCCAAAGAGAAGCATCTTTTCACTTGAGCCAAGTAGTCACATTCTATAAGCATTTATACTTTGTAAACAAAATCCTTTGTAATAAATACATTCACACACTACACACATAGGGCCATATTTTCATGGAACACTTACCTCCAAGGTTGTATTTTGTACAGACCTAACTTTTATTGAGCATTGTGCACGCTGCACTGGAACACCATTAGTACTGGCTTGAATTCTGGATTTTGACATTTTGTGCAATTTAGATTTCCCCTGATGGTGATTAGTATATTGTCTGGAATTCATCAGGGAGTATTAGATTTTAGGCCAAAAAAGCTAAACTGAAAACAAAACTGACACAGAGTACTATCCCTAGAGGTGAATTCCTCCCAAAATGCAGTTTATTGAATGTGAGCTATAATTGCAGAGCTGCTAGAAAAAAAGAACAGGAAAAAAACAGCCACCAAAATGGTCTTTCTCCACTTCTGCCTGGAAATTTAGTCAGTTCAGTCTACCTGTTGTTTGTGTGGAGGTTATGTTATTGTCATATCTTCCCTGTAGATCACATAATGTACATTTCTTGCTAAATTCAGGTTAAGTGCAGACGCATTCTAACGGGTAAAACAGAGCACCCCTCCTGCCACAGAAGGTACCTGCTTACTACTTACACATTGCTGGAGGGGGTGCCACATGAAAGTGGCGTGTTCTGATGCTGTGGAGTGGGTGTCGAGAGAGGTGCTGGGATCTTTCTGCACTCATTTGCCAGCTTTCTCACATGCCCCATACTGATGCTGAATTGAAACTCCTTGGCTCCTTGTTCAAGGAGTACGAGACATGCCATGTAAGCTAGGTACTCTCTGATTTATCTACTTTAGTACAATACAATCCCATGTGTTTGCTGTATGCAGTAATTTTATCTACTCACTTTAGTCAGTAGTACTAATCCTAGCTGAGGCTTGAGAAACCACAACTCATCAAAAGTCATTGCTCTTGATTATACATTTCATGTCCTAGACTTGCATCGTTTCCATCGTTACCCAGACTGAACTTGTTTTCTTACTTGCCAAGTTACTCTTTTTTGAAGTTGTATTCTTGTTCAAGAGATTATTAAAATATCCTGCCTTTAAAAGGACATTTAGGCACTATAACCATTTCACCTCATGGGCACTGTCACTCCGTTCAGGGTTAAATAATTTTCGAGCAGTTTAACACTAAATAAGTTTCTTTGGCTACCCATAGCCCAGCACCAACTTGTGATTAACACACTTCCTTCTAGTTATGCCAATTCCATATCAGCAATGGGCAGCAAAGGTAGGTTGTGTTAGATAGGTTGAAAGCAGGTAGCTAACACTCTAAGCCGATCACAGCAGACCATTGCTGCTCAGGCCAATGCTTACTTGTTAGCCCAAGCAGCATGGAGGGGATGAGCCTCTGGGGACTTCTGTTTAACTTTAAACATTAAAAATTGTTTAATATTGAAAACTCTGAATGGCAGGATGGAGTCACTATAATTAGATGAACAGGTACAGCTTTCCTTTAAAGTAGATCTGTCAGCAAAAATAAACTTTATATATATAGACTTGGAGGTGTCCCTAGGCAGCAATGTAAACACTGCCTTTTCTCTGAAAGGCAGTATTTACATGAAAATGCCCGCAGAGACTTATCACATCTATTTCTGCTGTTGAACCAAAAGGATGCAAACCCCCAAAAAAAAAAAAACAGTTTGAAGTGCTTTACAATTTTACAACAAAGTAAGAAGCAGGGACTACTTTTCCTTACGTATAGCAGTCAACTTGACAAAACCAAGCTGACTATGAGTGGTGGTTAAAGGGACACTTGTCACCAGAACAACTACAGCTTAATATAGTTGTTCTGGTGTCTATAGTATGTCTCTGCGGGCATTTTCATGTAAATACTGCCTTTCAGAGAAAAGGCAGTGTTTACATTGCTGCCTAGGGACACCTCCAATGGCAGTCACTCAGACGGCCACTAGCGGTGCTTCCTGGGTGCAGCACTGATGTTCAGAATCTCTACACTCTGCATTCAATGCATCACTAATAGAATTGCTGATTGTCCAGTGTGGTGTTTTGTTCCGACCTGCCTCCTTGGCTGAGATCATCAGAAATGGCCATCTCAGCCAATCCAATGCTTTCCCATAGGATAATACCTTTAGTTATAATTGTCTGCCTACTCTCTTGTTTTAACAGAGTCAAAGGTAAAGGGTACTTTCCAGCAGAAAAATTTAAAATATTAAAATAATTTATAAATAGTATATACCGTTTATTAGGCTTTTTGCTGTGCATGTTACTTGTGAGTAGATACTTGAGCAGGCAGACATTGGCAGGCACAATGCAAATATTATTAGGGAATAATTCGAAAACTTCTTACTTTAGGCAAAACTACAATAGTTTACTAGTGAAAAGTTTTGCAGGTTAACTCATATAAAACACAATGCAAATATAACTGTAGTGGTTATGGTATCACTAGTGCCCACAGGGTAATATGTCAAACCATTTAGGAACAGTCTGACAACTTACCTGGGTCTAACCATAGGCTAATCTTGGAGGAAAAGCTGCAGTTAAGTAAGTACAGCCATGCTTAACTCAGTGGTTTTTCACTCAGTTTTCTGAATAGAGAGCTCATGATAGGCTGAGAGCCTTTCCTGAAGTTCTCAGGTTATGAACCTCACACAGTTCACGACTTCCTTATTTTTAATTGACCAACAGGAAGTAGCTGATCAGAGAATTGGGCGGCATCTTCCAAAGTTAGGGGTTAAGATATTCTCTACTGGTTTAACCCCAGCACCCAGGACAGAATGGCCTGTGATATCACAAATTAGAACAGATTGCCAGTAGGAATGAATCTTGGTAAAGTTAAAAAAAATATGTAGAGCAGAGTTCCCACATAGGAGAAGCAGTGCCAACATTGTGGGGAGAAGTTCAAATATATATATATATATATATATATATATATATATATATATATATGGAATACCCCTCAAAAAAATTAATAGCAGCTGCCAACCACATTTCTGAAGAAAATGTATATTGGAGTTCCTCCTCCCGTTTAATAACACAGGAGGCTTCACTGGTAGGTCTAGTAGTAGCAGGCTTGGTAGCATGTAAACAAGGGCTTCATGATTTTAGCTGTGCCCAAACACAACTGCTATATATGAGAAGGAATAATAAGAAGTGTTTGGAGTGATCCAGAAGTCTGAAGGACATGTTTTATCCTTAAATAAGAAAAGATATCTGAATATCTGATAAGCAGAGAGTTTATATTAGAAGAAGGTGTGGAAAAGGGAGGATATTGTGAAAGATCATAAATGTTTAACTATATGTATACCGAAAGAGGACCAACAGTATATGGGAAGGAAACAGTTGCAAATATGTAGAGGACTTGTTCAGGGATAAGCCTCAGGCACCATAATCACCAAACCTTTAAGGAGTGCAGCATTAAAGAGAGAATTTTGAGGGGGTGGAGACCTATGAGATGGAAGCCATAATAATTGGTCTTGTGTAAATGGAAAAAGGTATGCATTTTTGAGGGAGACCCATGGACAAGGAGTAGGGGCAATCTAAATAGTAAATGCACTTATATAGTGACATAATATATGCAGATTATCGGGTCACCCAACCCACACAGAGGGATGCACACTAAGCAATTTATGTAAAAGGTTAATGGGATGTTTTTTTCCAAATGTAATTGTGGATTACAGTTTGGAATGTATGTAAAATAGATGCTGTATTCTAGTACAGTATATCTAAAGCTTTTCCAGTATTGTCTGAAACCTGCTTGGTGAGAGAAACAAGTTAGGATAGGAGAGAACCAAGTCTAGATGCCAAAATCTTAGCAAACAACTCAATGTTCTCATGCCGGGTTGGGGTAAGGTAATGTTGGCAGACAGCATTTCCTCTGGGATTTGCCGTCAAAAATATTCTTTAATAAGGAGGTTGAGATAATAAAATGTTGGCACTCTTTTTATTATATGTATTGGGGAAACCATCTGGGCCAGGGGCTTCATGGCTAGGTAGTGAGTTAATAGCTTTAAGAGTTTGCTCATTTGAAATCGGCTGATCTAACACCAAGAATTAGGAGGGTGTAAAGTCGGAAAGAGAGATATATCGAAATCTAATTTGTTGTTGGAGTATATGTTCATGGATCCCAGTTTAAATTGTATAGCTTCCGCCTGTAGTACACAAACATGTTAACCATCTTAGCAGGACTAGTGATTTTTAAATTATCAAAAAGATAGGGAAGCTGTTGAACTTTCAGTTTAGAAGCCAATAATTTACCTGCACTGTTAGCTTGTGAATAGTACATATGCTCAACTTTGCACATATAAGTTTCAGTACAGATTAGAGTGTAGATCAGACACTAGATATTTTAGCATTTAGGTGAGAGGACAGGGACAATTTATTATTGGTCTCTCTGATGTGAAAAGCCTGAAGCAAGGAGTCCTCGGCTTCAGTCAAGCCCTTTCTCATCATGTGAAATGAACATGAATAACAGGTTTATGGGCAAACCAAATATTTAGTGTATTAGTCCTATCAGGGTAGTTAGTTAAAAAATTTTGAAATAAAAGCAAATATATATGAGAAAAAGGAGGTTCTCATTTAACTGCTAGTCCCATACCCGGAGAGTGCGAACTAATTGTAGTTTGGTGAAGGCATGGTCTGATCATGTGATTAGACCTATATCAGCCTTTGTCATAGACTGAATAGTTATAAATTTAACTAAACAAAAATCAATTCTGGAGTGTCTTTAATGTGCAACAGAATAATATGTGAATTGTATTTCCCGAGACTAAGATTCCCTCCAAATCAGTGACTTAGAACAACGGCTTTATTAGTGGTTGAGTGTAATTTGGCACCAATGGTATCCCATAAGGGATTCAGCATAGAGTTAAAGTCCCCACAAACTGTCTTCACGTTTTTATTCTGAGAATCCTTTTAAAGCACTTGGACAAAAAAAAAAAAAAAAACTATTTGGTTTTCATTAGGCGTATAGATAGGTCTATCTAGGTACATGTCTCGCCTGCACCATCATTAAAGAAAATCAAGTCAAAACTACTGAATAAAGAGAATTCTTCACTTGAGGGATGGGATAAGCTTGAGGTGTTGTGGCTGGATCAATACAATAAATTTAACTCTTCTGGTCATTTTGTATCTGTTACGCACACTCCCCATATACGTACTCTTTTTCTTACTGAAAAAAATCCAGCATCTTATTAATGCCTACAACTGGAAGCATAAACTGCCCTGAATTCCCTTTAGCACAACGGCTGGAGTCGGGGGATTGGGGATTCTTGACTTCAGATCCTATGAAATGCACAGTCTTATCCGACGCCTCATATTTGGCTTCGACTGGAGAAAGTGGTTTTGAAACCACATATGACTTTCCAACTCCTGTGGGCACCTTCTCACCTACATCCATCTTCCAAGCAACTGCTCCAAACTATGAAATTCTCAATCTCCTTGTGGCATAGGTGGATATCTCCACTTTTATACCTCAACACCCTACTAGTGTGGGTGCCTTCTACTTCGTGCACCCCAAATCTCCACCTAAGAGCATGGGAGTCAGCAGGCATTTCACTTATTAGACAGATCCTAGCTCCTACAGAGATTATCAGTTTCCCTGACATACAGAATACATTTCCCTACAATCTAGGAAACGGTTTCAATATTTACAAATCAAAAATGTTCTACAAGCACAGGGGGTGGTAAAGGCAGGGCCTAACCAGCTAAAGCCCTTTCATTGAGTTATGTTACGATGTAAAATGTGGCAGAATGCCTCTGGTGCTTCGGTGCATGCTTAAAGCAGTTCTAAACTGCCGTATGTACTAAAATAAACTCTAAACTACTAATGGAATTTGAGACAGAACAATGGAAGAGTTAAAAAATAATCCAAGGGCTGCAAAGTGTAGGTGTCACATATAGTTAGATTTATTAATGCATACAGGATACACACAAAAAATAAAAATAAAAATAAATGCAGTGTTTCTATCTGTCCTTAGTCATGCATAATCAACATTAAAAAACAAACAGTATACTGTACATCCCCGAATGCCTGGAGGAGCAGCCTGTCGGCTCAAAATGTGATTTGCTATGTTCCCCTCCCCCTTTTTTTCCCCCTTACATTGCTGATGTTCCCTTCCCCTCCCCCTCCTTTTCCTTTCTGTACCCTCTCTTGAAAATTTTAAATAAAAGAACAAATGGAAATATCAAAACAAAAATAGTATAAATGCCTAAAAATTGGTGCCAAAATTACAATAAGCCCTCCTCATTCCACAGGCAGCTACCCCTATTAGTAACAAGTATAACAAACATAGGTCCAAGTTATAGCAGTTATAGATTTGATATAAAGGTGCAATACTTCAAAAGAGCCATTAGGTGGAATAATAGAGTAAAGAAAAACATAGAAGAAACGGTTTGTAAGTAAGTGTGTGTGTGTGTGTGTGTGTGTGTGTGTGTGTGTGTATATATATATATAATAAAATAAGTATATATGACTGGTGTTCATTACATGATCAAATAAATCAGACATACAAAATATGTTCTTTAAAACTGTACATAAATCATGTTAGTTTGACAGGGAACATCACAATCTGTAGAAAAAAAATAGAATGTATGGTGAGGAGTAAACTTCTTGAAGTTGTGTATCTGTGTTGCATGGCTGAATAGGCTGCAGGGGGTCCTCCTCAGTACGACAGACACTAAAGGCATTTAAACCCTGCAATGTAAACATTGCAGAACAACCTTTTACATTGCTTGGTTAAGACGAGAGAGACATGGCACCTAGATAGTTTCCTTGGTCTTAATGAGAAGGGCCCTGGTTGCCTTTTTTCCTGCAGGTTTGCTGCCATAACAATGTTTGTCACATTCCTTGCATGTTTTACTGTGAAATGTTAAAAGTCCACATGCATCACCAATTTCAAACAATGTCATGTTGTACATTATACACATATTTCTCAGTCAGAAACATTCCCATGTATTCAATCACTATATATCCTTCCTCTGCCCCAATACATTAGTTCTCTCTTAGTGAGTTTTATACACAGAACATATAACATACAAAAAAAAAACTTCACATTCGACTTTAAGTCCTTGTGGTTTTAAAACATTGACTTTTCAATTTATACAATTCTTTTTACAAAAGTTACTTGACTTCTACGTGGGAAGAGGGGTGTTAAAGAGGGACGATCACTTGTGAGAATTTTACAACCAGATAGTCAAATAAAAGTTTGTTATCGGTTGGGCTATTAATATAATTTTTTTAGATTACTTTAACCCCTTAAGGACACATGACATGTGTGACATGTGTGACATGTAATGATTCCCTTTTATTCCAGAAGCTTGGTCCTTAAGGGGTTAAATAAAAAAAATAAAAAATGAAAATCTCTGGTTGCTGCTTTCGTTAATAATAATCTACACATTCTCACAAAAGTAAGACCTATTCCTATTGGACATGGTTGATGCACTTTAAGCCTAGAAGCTTGTTTAAAATAATAGGGCTATTCACTAAAGAAGGGTTTGTCAGAAAATCAAAGCATAGACAGGCTGAAAACATAATTGTCTTGTTGAATTTTTACAATATTACCTTTTGACCTTAAATGCAATTCTCAACAATTAATAAAATAGTACATAGTCCCGTAGGTGATTAAGAATACGTATATAAATAATCTGCTACTGGTAAAACGATCAAGAATTTAGAAATCTATACAGCGTCCTTTTCTCTCCCAGTCTCCATAGCGAGTAGGCTCTGGTCCTTTAGGTCCACCTTTTTCCTTTGTTATGGGATTGACATCATCTGGGAATCCTTTAAAACAATACAAAGAAAACAAATGTACATACCAGTACATAGATGAAGCACTAGAGGTTCAGATATAAAATATTTGCACAACCCATACTGACCCTCTCACATAGGCAGACTCATGGGATATGTATTATGGTTATTTACTAAACGCACAACTATACCACATTAAAACGAATTAGAGGCACTAATAGCAGATTTGGAAAAAATATCCAACTCCGCTATAATAGCTTGGCTACTTTAGACCCATGCACCACAGGCTAGTGTTTAAAGGAACACTATTGCACTAGGAATACACATCTGTATTCCTAATGCTACAGTGTCCCTGTCTCTACTCTTACTAAGGTATCAGGTGCATTCAAATAAAATAAAATAAAAAATCTAAGATTTACTCACCTTTTTCCAGTGCTGAGACTACCTTGGCAATGCTTACCTGTTTGCTTCCCTCAACCTAACAGATGAGGCATGGCCTCCTTTGCCTATATCTAAAATATATATTTCCCCATTGTATTGCACTACTTACAGCTTTGAGAGAAATACAGGGTTGTGGGTGGTCTCTCCGCACAGAGTAACAGTGTTCACTCTATTGTTTAACCAGGAGTTGCCAAGAGAATTTCCCCTCAGCATTCAAATGGTGGTCCAGAGAGGAATCCACAAGAAACGACATCTAACGGCCCAGGATTTTGTGGAGAAGCACCAACTTCCATTGTCTGAATTCTCCCGGGCTAACCAACTTCTCTACTTTAAGTGGAAATTCTTACAAGCTTATCCGTTTGGGGGAACCTGCTTTCTATAATCCATCTGACATTTCCATAAGAAAATAGGGCTCCATTCTTTACTGTAGTCTGATGTAGTCTTACTGATTTATCTACACCAACCACAGTATACTTCTAAGTGGGAGACTGACTTGGATGAGGAGCTTGAAGGTGGACACCAACATCTGCAATGCATATCAAGAACTGCTTTATGGTGTTGGCCATTTCACCACTCTTGACTAGCTAAAATTAGGCGACTGCTTCCGCAGTTGTGGTGAGGAGGGTACGTACTTGCAGTCCTGGTGGCCATGTCCTAAGATTAAACCATTGTGGGAGTCCATTTTACCTAATTACTATAGTGCCTAGACTTAACTAGTTCCTGACCCATGGTTGGCACTCTTGAATAGCCCATAAACTTATCTGCTCTTAGGATATGTTTAGCTAAATACTAGAAAGTCGTGCAGCTCTCCCAGGCACATGCTAAAAGGTCATACCTGATCAAAATGGAGTAGTTGACTGTAGCCATTAATTAAACCACTGACCAATTTCTGAAAAAAGAATCCCCTTGGATGGAGGTATTTCCCCTTCTGGGTCCTAATTTGCATCTCCCTTCCTTCTCTTTTTTATACTCCCGAAACTAGATGGAGTGTTGTGGGGATCCATGGGGGGAGATCTGCTTCACATTAACTTGAACTTGGCTCCTTATCTGCTTTCACTTTCATTCTTTCCCCATCTTGCTTGTCTATATACCACTACGAGTTGGGGAGAAAGCCCAGTTCTTTCATATTTTGGAAATCTTGTTTCTTAGTTTCATTTTGGGTCTTTCTGGATATGTGCACATACATAGTTTCAACATCACTTTTCTGTCGATTCTCTTGTTGTATTGAAACAAAAAATATCAATAAAAACTTTATATATCTCCAATTAATTGCAGTTTATTTAGGAATCGTCAAAATCGTATACTGCAGTGACTGCTGGTTTTGGGATCATCCTCTATTTAGTGTTGAAAATATTAGTTTTCTTAAAATGACAAATTGCAGAACTTTCTTAAGGGAACACTACAAACACCATGGCCATTTCTGCTTTTAGAACTGGTCATGATGGTAGGAGTCAGTATGTGAAGTGTTTCTGAATGAAACAATGCACACAATAAGATATTGGCACTCGTGACACCGAACTTATTCAGCCCAAAAGCCTGTTCCAGACTGCCTACTGTAAACTCATAAAATACCTATGTGTTCAACTTGCACTGCACACTGGCGACGTATTGAGCTTCTCCTGCCTGCAACGGGAAGCAAGGATATCCTCTCCATCCCTGTGGGCAGCCCTTCTGTTTTTTTAAACTTTTCCTCCTCCCTCTCCCCAGGTCAGAACGCATGTTCTGAGCTTGTTAAATGGTCCAATCAAAGGCTTCTCTATGTGAAGCCTTAGATTGTACCTCACGCAGCTGCTGTTATGGCAGGAAAGGGCTTAGAAAGTCACACCGGTAACTTCGCCTGGCACTGAAGTTCAGGTAAATAAAACTTTTTAGGAAGCATCCTAAAGAATAATGCCAAATAAAGTATTATTCATTTAAAAACTTAGACATTAAGAGTTGGAGTAACCCTTTAAACCCCACATGGTTCAACTATTCTAGAAAAAAAATTAGGCCAAATAAAAGTATATAAAACACTTTCCTCAGGATGCAATAACTGTTGCCTGAAGATTGCCAAGCAAGTGGGTAGAAAGGATGGTCCAAGAGTGAGACAGCAATGGGAGGCTGTGTTCACTGTAAAGCAGATGTGGGAAATTAAAGTGGTAGGACAGTTTTGCAACACAAACATCTATATATAAATGTAGACAATGCACATACAAAGTGGATTTCTTTTCGAATTGGGTAACATTTGGTAAAGTAGTTATATTCTTACTTTCTAGAGAGTCTTTCTGCACACTAGACTGTTCAGTTTCATCAAATCGCCCTTGCGGTGTTTTCGGTTTTTTAAGAGGTTTCTTGGTTGAGCCAGTGGTCTGTGGTGGGATACTGGTACTTGTTCTGGCAGAGTGCCACACTCCTATACACACTGAAATGTAAACAAAGACTTTATATTAAAGAATACAGAGGCGCAGCCTGTTCATTTATGGAGTATTTTAAGACATGAGCAGTACGTTTCTGTCAAACATATTCACTAAAGTGAGAACTGCAGGGAATTCACAAATAATTTCAAATGTAAAGGGACACTCTAGACCAGGGGTCCTCAAACTTTTTAAACAGGGGGCCAGTTCACTGTCCCTGAGACACTGTCGAGGGCCAGACTATAGTTTAAAAAAAATTTGAACAAATTCCTATACGTACCGAAACAGACACATGCAGACACACACTAACATACATTCAGACACAAACACGCATGGGGACATACATACTGAAATACATACAGACACATACATACAAACACATACATACTGACACACACAGAGACACATACAAACACACACTGAAATACATACACACAAACTGACACACATACATATAGAAATACATACGGATATATACATATAAACACGTACATACTGACACACATACATACATCCTGACATACTGAAATACAAACACACACACACACATACTGACATACATATACACATACTGACATACAGACAGCTAATTTATCTTACTTTTTTTTGCAGGAGGGTGGCTGTGGCTGATGGGAGTCGCTCTTCCGTCCTTGCGGCCTGTATTTCTTCCTTCCCGCGGGCCATAGTTTGAGGACCCCTGGCTCTAGACCTTTAAAGCAGAGCTTGACAAATTTGTTTGGAATCTAGGAGCCAGCTAAAATAGTAAGGAACCAATTTTTTTTTTTTTTTTTTTTTTAAATGGGACACTTGAGTCACCAGAACCACTCCAGATTAATGTAGTTGTTCTGGTGTCTATAGCCTTTTCAATGTAAACGCAGAGTCCTGTGTAAGTGCTCAGTATGGAGGCTCTTAATGCTTCCCATAGAGAACATGTGCAATATCCTCTCAATGCTTTTCTATGTGAAAGCATTGGCTTAGCTGAGATCATAAATGTTGATGATCTCAACTATGGAGGCGGGACAAGCCACGGCGAAACCAGCACAGAGTTGGAAAAAAAAGGTGAGTAAAAACATCTCTCCTGTGATCAGAGGGGCAGGTACCTAAACAGACACACACTTACACACTGACAAGTTGACAAAGACATACACACACACACTGACAGACACACACATACACACTGTCACAAATTTACATTTTTTATTTAAATCCAGCCTCCCTACCTTTAGAAGAGCTGAGTGGATCTTTCCCTGAGGTCAAGTGGGGCTGCTCTTCCTGTGTGCGAGGGAGCATTCTACCTGCCGCTCCTCTCTACTCCCTCGCACTGTCTGTAGTGATGCCGGGGCCAGAATTACGTCATATTCTGGCACCCGTATCACTGTACAGAGCAAGGGAGCAGAGAGGAGCCGCAGGTAGACTGCTCCCACGTGCGCTGCCCCAGCCTGCTGTCTCCATGCAGTCTAGGGCAGACGCCTCCACGATCTCTGAGCAGGCCGCTTTCATGCTCTCCAGGGCGGTCGGCTACATACTCCCCAGGGCTGCCGGCCCCATTGTTTGCCCAGCCGGTAAAAAGTTGACAAATCCCAGGCACCAGGGCGAAATTTTGAGTCGCCATGGCAACCTGGGATTTGTCAAGTCCTGCCCTAAATCACTAAAGCTCTGAGTGTGCTTTGGCTACCTCTTGCCTGCCTTCCCCGCACTGAAGTGGTTAACAGGCAGAGCAGCTTTTCACAGCCCTGCAATATTCACCCCTGCCCCCCTCCACAAACAGACACAGAGAGGTAAACTACTTAAAGTAGCCAGGTCTCTGCAGGGAGGATTTATAGAGGGAGAGTAGACCTGCCAGTAATGAAGATGGGATCACCTAGGGACATAAAAATAAATGTTTGTTGTAAATTTATATGTTAATTGTATGCCTGAGTTTAAATGTCTGTGTACGACAGTGTCTGTATGTCTCTGTAAGACTGTATGTCTCTGTATTATATTTATATAGCATCATCAGATTCCGTAGCGCTGTACAATGGGATGACTGTGTTTGTTGGTGTCTGTATGTCTATGTATGACAGTGTCTATGACTGTATCCGAATGTCTGTGTCTGTATATCACTGTATGTCTGTATGTAACTTTCCGCTACCAAATGTTACGCAACATCTTGTGATGTTGTGTCCAGTGACATCACACATACATATTTAAGTATGCAAATTAGCATGGCCTGTACTTTTTTCCAAGAAAGGTGGCAACCCTATGTTTTCATGTATTACAAGAGAACTTGGCTCTTTTATCTATTAACCTTGTTACACTATAGTTTCCTTTTAAATGAATGCATGTTTAGTTAGTATTTCTTTTTGGTGTAATAACTAAACGAGTGATTTTTATTTATTTGGGCAGCAAAATAGCTGTTTAAAGTGCAGTTTTAGTAGTCCTCCCTGGCACCATGACAAGATTGGAAACGGTTGTCACCGCATAGATTAACTGTGTTACCATGTTAGCGGAGGGGATATCAACCAGGGTCATATAATTTAATATGTAATCATTCCTGTACACATACAGCCAGCACCCTGACTGCAATCCCTGCTAGCTGACATCGCTACACATTGCCGGCCGGTGTTATTATACTCAGTGTGAGCGCATTGCCGGCCGGTGTTATTATACTCAGTGTGAGCATTGCCGGCCGGTGTTATTATACTCAGTGTGAGCACTGCCGGCCGGTGTTATTATACTCAGTGTGAGCACTGCCGGCCGGTGTTATTATACTCAGTGTGAGCACTGCCGGCCGGTGTTATTATACTCAGTGTGAGCATTGCCGGCCGGTGTTATTATACTCAGTGTGAGCGCATTGCCGGCCGGTGTTATTATACTCAGTGTGTTATACTCAGTGTGAGCACATTGCCGGCCGGTGTTGTCTCAGTGTGAGCACATTGCCGGCCGGTGTTGTATTATATAGGTGTGAGCACATTTGCCGGCCGGTGTTATTATACTCAGTGTGCGCATTGCCGGCCGGTGTTATTATACTCAGTGTGTGCGCATTGCCGGCCGGTGTTATTATACTCAGTGTGAGCGCACTGCCGGCGTTATTATACTCAGTGTGAGCGCACTGCCGGCCGGTGTTATTATACTCAGTGTGAGCATTGCCGGCCGGTGTTATTATACTCAGTGTGAGCATTGCCGGCCGGTGTTATTATACTCAGTGTGAGCACATTGCCGGCCGGTGTTATTATACTCAGTGTGAGCATTGCCGGCCGGTGTTATTATACTCAGTGTGAGCATTGCCGGCCGGTGTTATTATACTCAGTGTGAGCACTGCCGGCCGGTGTTATTATACTCAGTGTGAGCACTGCCGGCCGGTGTTATTATACTCAGTGTGAGCACTGCCGGCCGGTGTTATTATACTCAGTGTGCGCATTGCCGGCCGGTGTTATTATACTCAGTGTGCGCATTGCCGGCCGGTGTTATTATACTCAGTGTGAGCACATTGCCGGCCGGTGTTATTATACTCAGTGTGAGCACATTGCCGGCCGGTGTTATTATACTCAGTGTGAGCACATTGCCGGCCGGTGTTATTATACTCAGTGTGAGCACATTGCCGGCCGGTGTTATTATACTCAGTGTGAGCATTGCCGGCCGGTGTTATTATACTCAGTGTGAGCACATTGCCGGCCGGTGTTATTATACTCAGTGTGAGCACATTGCCGGCCGGTGTTATTATACTCAGTGTGAGCATTGCCGGCCGGTGTTATTATACTCAGTGTGAGCATTGCCGGCCGGTGTTATTATACTCAGTGTGAGCATTGCCGGCCGGTGTTATTATACTCAGTGTGAGCATTGCCGGCCGGTGTTATTATACTCAGTGTGTACATTGCCGGCCGGTGTTATTATACTCAGTGTGTACATACAGTAAGTGCCCGCACGGTAGGTTACAGTATTATTCTATGACACTTACGTTGTACAGACCGACGTACAGCCCGGGCTCCCGCGGACCCACATACCGGATAGGAGAGCGCCAGAGCGGCCATCCTGCGGTGACCTCTATCGGACTCAACGACACTTCCTGCTATCGTGGGAACTTCGACACGTGGGATAAATCGCATAACGCGATTGGTTATCAAAGCCAGTTTCTAATTGGCTGCTATAACCAGACGCTGATTGGCTAGTATAACCAGCCGCTGATTGGCTACTATAACCAGCCGCTGATTGGCTACTATAACTAGAGTGGCCGGTTAGTTCATAAGTCTGATTGGATGATTGTTAAGTTTTTATCCGTGACGTCAGACAGTTCAAAACGCTCTGCTGAAGTCCCCCAGTCTGCCACATCACTACATGACGACATAAAGAGGATTAGCTGCACGTCTGGGATGTAATGAACTCAGTGGATATATCACTGACTACCCAACAACATCTCACAGCAATCCCTGCACACTGTGCTTGTAGGGTGTTTGTGGGGTGGCCCAAGGGAAGGGCTGAGACAGTTTAATTAATTTAAAGTAACAGAGATACAGAGACACAATGCTACCCCTGCCCCATGACTGGGCTGTACCCTCTCCTGCACTTACCTGATCCCACACTGGGCACCTATTGGGCATCCAGGCTTTCCAAGGCAGCTTGCTTGACTCTGAACTAATAATTAAAAGGGTTAATTCTGTTCAGCGGAATCATAAGACAAACAACATTGTACATTGCAAGGATGCCACCATGCCTGGAAAAATATACCGCCCATGCACGTTTGCATTATTAACCCCTTAAGGACGTTGACATGCGCCCCTTCAACGTCCACATATACCTGGCAAAGGTACATACGGGGGTATTGCTGTACTCAGATGACATAGCTGAGCAACATATGAAGTATTATAAAACTGTAGCACACATAAGGTTTGCAAAATATACTGCGCAAACTCACTGTGTATGTCAAAAAGACAGAAAAAACGCTTATTACCACTACACTTGGTACAAGCAATTTGCCTTTTGAAATACCCTCGGGTGTCTTCTTTAAGAAATAGTATGCCTTTTTGGGGTAGTTGGAAAAAGCAGCCTGCTAACATATTTCAAAATAGAATACAGACATATTAAAGGACCAATATAGTGCCAGGAAAACATACTCGTTTTCCTGGCACTATAGTGCCCTGAGGGTGCCCCCACCCGCAGGGTTCCCCTCCCACCGGGCTCTAGGGGGTGGAAGGGGTTAAACTTACCTCTTTCTCCAGCGCCGGGCAGGGAGCTCTTCTCCTCCTCGGCTGAATGCGCTTGCGCCCACATTCAGCCAGTCTCATAGGAAAGCATTCACAATGCTTTCCTATGGACGCTGGCGTCTTCTCACTGTGATTTTCACAGTGAGAAGCACGCAAGCGCCTCTAGCGGCTGTCAATGAGACAGCCACTAAAGTCTGGATTAACCCTATTATAAACATAGCAGTTTCTCTGAAACTGCTATGTTTATAGAAAAAAGGGTTAACCCTAGCTGGACCTGGCACCTAGACCACTTCATTAAGCTGAAGTGGTCTGAGTGCCTATAGTGGTCCTTTAACCCCTTAAGGACCAAACTTCTGGAATAAAAGGGAATCATGACATGTCAGACATGTCATGTGTCCTTAAGGGGTTAAAACCCTCCATGTAAATTCACACTTAAAAATCTGAACTTGTCACGTCTCTTTTACAGCACTGTAATTAGTGTCTAGGTCATACATTGGGCTTATTGTTTTACTTAGAAGAGGTAACTGAGCATACTTAGGGAGAATTTATGAAAGTGGCACTCGAGTATAAGCCAACCCGAATATAAGCCGAGGTACCTAATTTTACCTCAAAAAACTGGGAAAACCTATTGACTCGAGTATAAGCTTAGGGTGGGAAATGCAGCAGCTACTGGTAAATTTTAAAATAAAAATAGATCCCAATAAAATTACATTAATTAAGACATCAGCAGGTTAAATGTTTTTGAATATGTGAGTGTGTGTTTGTGTGAATGCAGTGTGTGTATATATAATGCAGAGTGTGTGTGTAAATGCAGTGTGTGTATATAATGCAGAGTGTATTTGTGTGAATGCAGTGTGCGTGTGTGTTTGTGTGAATGCAGTCTTTGTGTAGTGTGTGGGTGGTGGGAGGGCATTTTTAATATTTTAATATTATTTTAATATTTAATTTAAAAAAAAAATTTTGTCCCCCCCTCCCTGCTTCATACTTGGCCAGGGAGGGGGGTATGTTAATCCCTGGTGGTCCAGTGGCATGTACTGTGCAGTGGGGGGGGGCAGCAGCAAGCTGTTACTTACCTTTCCTGCAGCTCCCGTGTAAATCTTGCGGTCTCCGTGCCGCACGGAACTCTCGGACAACCGCGGGACTCACGAGATTTACACAGGGGAGTTGGAGGAGCTGCAGTAAAGGTAAGTAACAGCTTGCTGCCGACCCCCAGGACCGCCGGGCTCACCTGGTCTGTATTATGGCAATGTAAGTTGCCATAATACAGACCCTGACTCGAGTATAAGCAGAGGGGGGCTTTTTCAGCACAAAAAATGTGCTGAAAAACTCGGCTTATACTCGAGTATATACGGTAAATACCCAGCGAAAATGCAACATTTATTTTTTTCTCACCACAAAATTTAAAATAAATTGGTGAAAAAATGGTGGCAAGTTAAGGTATGATATATGAATAATAGTAGGTAACAAAAGCCTACATGTACTAGGAGATCTCTTACCGGATGATATAAATTAAAAAAACTCTAAAATATAATCAAAACCACTTGTAAATGTATGAATTACTGAAATAGTAAAATGTGCAAAAATTTCTTAGAATATCAGAAGTTAGAATATAAAAAACTGGTTGTAATATGCATAAATACACTAGGTGCCAGCCTTGCATAAAAGAATCTGGTGTAAAAAGGGTCTTCTACTAAACAGCAAAAACTCTGAATATACAAAGTGTGAAAAAATTTCAGAATTGATAGTCCAATAAAATCCAAAGCGATTAAAAAATAGAATAATGTCTAGTAAAGTCTATGATAAGCAATGTTCTTTTAGTGCAACAGTACCAATATCACATCTTACACATTGTGCTTCTCCTCAATAGAATAACAGTAGCAATAAGTGTCAGGTTGTGAATATAATTTAACCAATGCTGGTGTATATCAGTGAAATCTCGGATAGCAGCAACAAACTAACAGTTACTATTATACCACCAATACAGGTATATAGTACTACGATCTCTAGATGATCAGTAATGTTAGTAAAAAAAGTCCAAAGTGTTTATATTAAAAATTCCATATTTATTGAAATTGAAATTAAAATTAGAACACACTCACAGAATAGAAGTGTAATGTCCCAGCAATTGAGTCCTTGTTTGGTAAGAAAGTCGGGCGATGGTCAGCAATCTGAGGGAGAACTTTCTCTGGCCGGTGAGATCTTACTGCGTTAGTGGAGGTGAGACACCTCTCGCGTGTGTTCCACTCAGTGCGCCCGATTTGCGTTCCACGGTTGCTCGGTAGCTGGATCGATGTACGGCAATTGCCGGAAATGCCTTACGCATTTCGTGACAATGCACAGTCACTTCTTCAGAGGCGGATGAACATCTGATGCTGCTGTTCCATTTTATATAGTAGTCCCTGGCAGCACTATTTATTGTCAGCTGCTCATGTAATGCGATAAAAAGTCAGTTTCAAGACACATGGACGATAATAAATATCAATAAATAAATGTCTATATTTAAAGTAGTTCACAAACAACAATTAACCATTAAAACATACCATATTTGTTTACTTAAATCAATTGTATATTGCTATATTACATCCTTACATTCAAATATGCAGGGTAAAGAGATCGAAAAAACTCATCAATCAAAGGGTTATAATATTCTCTTTCTAGCCCATAATAATTTGATCATAAATATATATTTTATATAAGAGCTAGAAGGGTTCATAAACGTTAGAGCCTGGAATTAGAAAAAATACTGTATAATCATATCAGACCTTACAAGGATACTGATTCTTACTGGGACGGAAATAGTTAAGTCATTAGTACCACTGATGTGTCTATTTTCTGTTTGGTGCTCCGTGTATCACCCTTTCATTAATAGTTAATAATGGGAAAAAGGTCATATATATCAAATGATAGAAAGAAAATACAGAATAAAATACAGAAAAAAAACAGAAAAAAATAGAGAAAAAAAATAGAGAGAAAGAAAAAAATTATAAAATATAGATAGACCAGAATACTATACAGAAATAAATCTACCATATAGTCGCCAGAAAGTTAATTATAAGTGTCCTCATTAGGGTCTACGACTAAATGTGTTATTAATCTAGACAGTTATGTGGAATGTGAGAATAATGATGAATGGTAGAAGATGGAAAATATAGAAAAAAGAAAAATGGTAAAATTCGAAAGTTAGCCGCAACAGATCTAACCGTGCGGACTTTGGTGTAGCATAGTGGGACATAATATACTTGGAGAAGGCGTGATATTTATATACACCTTAAATGGAGACATAAGTATTTGGAATACGGGACCCTCATTTTGTCATTCAAGAATTGAAAAGTGCTCACAAGTATAGTAGTTATGTTAGAAGAAATAGATTAAATTAGAACTATACCCCTAAAAAGAAAAAAGTAGAGAACAAAAAGCAGGAGGCATATAGAAATGACACCACTAGTGACATTAATAACAGATGACAATGATAGCATAAATAAGGTGCATCCAAAAAGACTTACAAACATATGGGTCATTAATAAAAGGACATGGCTCAAGGTAAGCTATATCATAATTAGCCTCAAAGAATATATATATAAAATATATATAAAAAAGTACAAACTATACAATACAGGCCATATAAAATTGACTCGTGTGGTAAAACAGAAACAACTCATCTGACCAGAAAACATCTTAAAGGATAAAATCAAAAACACGAAGTATAAAACGAATAATAAAAGAATAATTATTGGAAATTAGTTCTATAAAAAATGATCTAAAAATAGTATTGATTATAAAAAGGCGTTGAGTTCAAAATCTATATTAAGACCTTTAGGTTCCAGTGTATCTAAGTTGAAAATCCATTTAGCCTCTATTTTATCCAGTTCCTTTTCAAGATCTCCTCCTCTCCAGTGGGTCTCTACTTTCTCAATGGCCAAAAATTCAAGGCCAGTGGGATCATTGGAGTGTTTAACACTAAAATGG